AAAAAAAAAAAAACTTGAGTCAGCTCTTCCTTTTTATATTTATGATTATACCATTCAGTTGATACAAATAAGGATTTTGATCCGAGGGTGCTCCTGAATGGTGTGAGAGGCCAGAGCTGACCCCTTTAAGTTTGTATTCCTGGCACAATCACCTGCCTACTGGCACTTACACACCAGCTGGCTGACCTGCCTGTCAATCGTCCAGTTTACTCAGTTATGTTAATAGATTTTAAAAAGCACGGTTTTGTTACAAATAAACGCTACATTTTATACGTGCTAAAATTCTGTTTTAACTGCTTAAGAAAGTAAATCTCAAAATAAGTCATATACCAAGTTTTTTTTTTTTTTTAAAGATTTGATTTATTATTTATTTGTGCATACAGAACTGGGGTACAGGCAGAGGTAGAGGGGCAGTGAGAGGATTCACCAGAGACAGAGTGGGGAGCAGAACAGGCAGATGGATGAAGCACACTGCTGAGAGTAGCAGCGGATGTCAGGAGAGGTCTGCTGCGCCCTGTGGGTCACCTCCGGGATGGGGGGTGGAAATCCCACTGAGGAGGCTGCTGCTGGCTTACAGGGCTGCACCTTAACCCACTGCCCTTACTGACTTGTTAGTAGCTCTGTAATATTCCATTAAATGGATGCCCTATAATTTGTAAAGCATTTCACTAGTATGGAATATTCCAGATTACCTGAATATATTGTTTCTCCACTATTTACTTGGTTGAAAGGCTAAAATCACACCTACATATCCTTTAATACAGTCCCATTTTCCTTTCCAGTATGTTCAAATTCATTGATAATTTTCCCGCAACTTCCCTATGTAACAATTTAAGTGCAATTTTGAACTGAGATTTAAAAAATGAAAGAGAGGGGGGAAGCGGCAAACTGCTGCTTTAATAGGTAAAGCCCAGCAGTTCCATATAGACATTCCTTTTATTGCTGGCAAGAATGCATATAAAAATCATTCCTATTTGTTTTCTCTGTTTATGTTATTCAGCTAAACAAGTATTAGCATACACATGAGGTTAAATAAGACAAGTTGTTGCTGCCTATTATCCACTTAAAATGCATAAAGAATTCTGAAATTATACTCCGTTTCTTTATGTAACTCCTGCTGAGAACATGTCACTGCTTCTTAGCATTATAGAACTGACATAAAGAACCAATCTAGAGGAAATGTTGTGACATCTGAGATTTGTTTTCAACATATTTGAAAGTGAGAGAGAATAGGTGGAGAAATAGAAAAAATAAAACAGACTATGATTTGATTGTTGGTAACTGAAACTGGGTAGGGAGTACCCACTGTAGCATATGAAAAAAATAACAACGTGGGCCTTCCCTTGGGCGCAGCAGGTTAAAGCACAGCACTAAGAAGTTAAAGCCACTTCAGCACGAGCTCGATTCCCGGCCAAGGAGGTGACCACATGGCGTGACAGACCTCTCCTGACCCAGCTGCTGCTCCCCTCAGCAGTGTACTTTGTCAATCTGCCTGTTCTGCTCCCCACTCTGTCTCTGGTGAATTAGTCACTGACCCTGCACCTCTAGCCTGTACCCCAGTTCTGTATGCATAAATTAAAAAAAAAAAAACTTGAGTCAGCTCTTCCTTTTTATATTTATGATTATACCATTCAGTTGATACAAATAAGGATTTTGATCCGAGGGTGCTCCTGAATGGTGTGAGAGGCCAGAGCTGACCCCTTTAAGTTTGTATTCCTGGCACAATCACCTGCCTACTGGCACTTACACACCAGCTGGCTGACCTGCCTGTCAATCGTCCAGTTTACTCAGTTATGTTAATAGATTTTAAAAAGCACGGTTTTGTTACAAATAAACGCTACATTTTATACGTGCTAAAATTCTGTTTTAACTGCTTAAGAAAGTAAATCTCAAAATAAGTCATATACCAAGTTTTTTTTTTTTTTTAAAGATTTGATTTATTATTTATTTGTGCATACAGAACTGGGGTACAGGCCAGAGGCTCAGGGGCGGTGAGAGGTTTTCACCAAAGACAGAGTGGGGAGCAGAACAGGCAGATCTACGAAGTACACTGCAGAGGGAAGCAGCGGGCGGGCCAGGAGAGGTCTGGCTCGCCATGTGGTCTCCTCCGGGGCAGGAGGCAGGTGGGAATCGAACTCATGCGGAAGTGGCTTCAGATTCTCAATGCTGTGCTTTAACCCGCTGCGCCACCAGGGAGGGCCCATATACCAAGTTTTTAAACAGTGGCCTTCTATCTTACCTAACCTGGGCTAAGTGACCTCCACTGACTCAGCAGCCCCTTGGAAGCAAAGCCGGAGAGGAAGGAACTGCAACCCGAGGCCCATCTTCAGTGCCGGTTAAGGGCGGCCTTTCATTTTTGTATTCATCCCAACTCTTAGTACAATGCTTTGCAACCACCAGCTATTCGTGGATGGAGACAGGAAATAATTCTAACTACATTGTTGTCTTTAAAAACCACTAATCCATGCTTTATAAGACTTCATGGGTACACAAAATTAGTATATCATTATATTTATTTTCAGGTATGTTCCATTAAAGAGCTCTTACTGGACAAAAACTTAAAAAAACTCTTAAGACTCTGATTTCAGGTCATTTTATGAGTCAGGAGAGGCCATGTATGGAGTTTTAGAAAACTGAGACATCAGTGACCCTCATCGAGCTCCGACTTCACCTTCCTTCAGAATGACCTTGGCAGCCCTGCTGGCCTTCCTGCCTCTCCTCTGCCTCAAGAAGCTAACCTTTCTCCGCTGTTTCTACTCCATCCTAGGGGCAGCTCGGCTATGTCCTCTCCTCCCACCAGGGCGGAGTCAGGTGTTCCTGATCATTAATCTGCACATGGCTCCAGTCCCACTACTAGGCATTATGATAAACTGTGACTGTCTCTAATATAACTGTGTCTGTCCTCCCAAGGTAGAGACCCAAGGACAGGAAATGGATCTTAATCATCTTTCTAGCATCAGCATCTAACTTAGTACCTGGCACACAACAGGTGTGCAAAAACTAGTGCACCTGAATGAATAGAGCCCACATAACTTGCTCCCTGTCTTCCCAACTTGCTATTTGCTCTCTGACGTAGGGGATATGTTCTTCCAATGAATGGTCCTATTTCTGTGGCTAGCTCAGCTGAAGTTTCCTGTAACCAAGATGCGCTCCCCAACACCATGCCTGCTAATAAAGTGTGCTGCAAAGCCCCGTCTGTGGAAACTACAAATCACCAATTCTTACAATCACCCACCTCCTTGCTCAGCAGCAGAGGGCAAATAAAGGTGTGGCTTGCTGTTCTGGTATGGCTAAATACTAAAATCAAAGAAACAAGAAGGCAAAGACAACCCAAGCAAAGTAAAAAATCCCTTTGCAGGCAGTCAGGGGACAGCGTGTGAGTGAAGTGGGGAGATGCAGAATTAGGAGGTGACCACACATTTCTAAAGTGTCACAGACAAATTCGTCTAGCCCATCTTCTTGAATTCTTTTGTATATAAGCATTTCATTTTAGACAGATTTTCCCACCTTCAGAGTTCTAATGATATATAATAAGAGTCCAAAGGAAACCAAGACTGACTTTAATTGAAATGTAGTTATCTCTGCTGTAGTATTTTTCTACAAAGCTTAGGATAACCTTGAGAGAAAACCCCTGTATTAACCCATGTATGAAAGCATCCATCTGACTTACTGGAAGTAAATCTGAAATGAAAGTTTTCCGTCTGACTTTCCTTTTATGAGGCACTCCTTCCATTTCATCATCTTCAATCAAAGTGTCACCATTCACATTCTGTAATACTTCCTCAGTCTCTGCAGCAGTTTCTAGCCTCTGGGTCTCAGCCTCCTTCATTTGAATAACCATTTTGCCAGCATCCATTTCCAAAACTTCAGATAAGATCTTCAGTATGGCATTTATGATTTCTGCCTGACTCTTGGATGGGATAACATCTTTTAGATTCCAAACTGTGCCTGCAAAAGTAGCAATAGGACAAAGGAATCACATGTGCAGCCTTTTATCTAGTACAGGTTCTACAACACTGGCTCTTTAAGCTCAGGTATTGATTTCAAAAAATCCTGACCCAACTGTCTTTGTTCAGTTGTTATTAAATGTCAAAAAGCTCTGTCAAAAAGCTCTGTAGAGAGGAAGCTCCCTTGATTACGTTTATCATAATCACTTCCCTCGACAGCCAGTGCCTTTTCAGAACACCATATAGCAGCATACCAAGGGAACACTGAGCAAGTTTCTTTGAAAATGACAAATTAAGTCATCTTACTTTCTTTCATCGTCACCTGAGCTGCTTTCTTAAGCAGTTTCTTACATTCCAAGAATGGAATGGAATGTACTAAAATTCCAAGGTCTCATACAAACCAGAGAACAGGTGCTGGGTTTTTTGCTTATTGAAATAGAACAGGAGCTACATTAAGTATCTAGACTAATCAAAAACAACAAAACAAACAGCACTGTAAAAATGCAAACACTTCCGGGCCCTCCCTGGTGGCGCAGCGGGTTAAAGCACTGCACTGAGAAGCTAAAGCGACTTCCGCATGAGTTCGATTCCCGTCTGCCCCGGAGGTGACCACATGGTGTGGCAGACCTCTCCTGACCCACCCGCTGCTCCCCTCAGCAGTGTACTTCATCGATCTGCCTGTTCTGCTCCCCACTCTGTCTCTGGTGAAGCCTCTCACCGCCCCTGAGCCTCTAGCCTGTACCTCGGTTCTGTATGTACAAATAAATAAATCTTTAAAAAAAAAAAATGCAAACACTTCCTTGGTATAAACCCCAAAGAATTAAAAGCAGGAACTCCAATACGTATGTGCGCACCCAGCCCCAGGAACATTATTCAACAGCCAAAAGGTGTACATCTAGATGTCCACCCCTGGTTGATTAAACAAAATGTGTGTATCTCGTCAAGAGTCACGGAACAACCTTTTGGTCAATGATGGCCCACAACATACGCCTGTGGACCCAAAAGGTGATCTTCCCATGCAGTCCGGGAGTGCAGCAGGCTACCATGTAGGCTTGTGTAATTACACTCTGACATTTGCACAATGACGAAGTTGCCTAACCCCACGTTCCTCAGAATCTATCCCTGTGACATGACGTACATGCGGTGGAATTACTATGCAGCCTTCAAGAGGAAGGAAATTCTGACACATGTTACAACAGGGTCAAACACTGAGACAGTGTCACAGAAAGAAAAATACTGGATGATTCTGCTTTCATGAGGAACCTAAAGTAGGTTGCTTCATAGGAACATAAAATAGAACAGGAGTGGCTCAGGGTGTTGGGAAGTGGGAAGTTGCTTAATGTGCATAGTTTCACTTTTGCAAAATGAACAAAGTTCTGGAAATTGGTTTACAACACTGTGAATTTACTTACTGCCTCAGAAATTTACACTTAAAAATGGCTAGAATGGCAAATTTTATATGTGTTTTGTAACTTTAAAAAAAAACACCTTTGGAGACAAATTACTGCTACAATGCCAAAGGGCAAGAGGAAAATATGCACATAATCAATGTAAAGTACTACTATTATTCAAGAGATCATCAGATTATTTCTTACTCCTATATTCCGAAATTCTGGGAGAAAAAAAACCTGGGTAAAGAATTTACAGAAAAGTAAGCAGTCATGTTTTGAATAGCCAGAATCGATCCCTGAACTCACTGATTTAAAAAAAGGGAGCTGACAACAGCCTTTTTTACCAGATGACAGGAATTTGTTAGCTTGGAAACAAATCTATTCTAGAAGGCTTTGCAACTATGCACAATCAAATTAAGAGTCTTTATTAAATATTAAAAGTTTTCAGAAAAGGCATGAAGAAATGATTGAATCTTGGCTCCCATCATTACAGGTTGCTAGAAAAATATACTATCACATTTGGCTAAATGTTACCTGCTATTAATGTCTTTAAAAGAATGTATTCCATGGAATTGTCAGGAGACAGCATTGCTGATTCCAGCACCTGCAATGCTGGAGCACTAAAGGATCTCAGTAGCTCTGGGTTATCTTCCGTCACAGTCTGCAAACAATATGCTATAAAGACAAACATTAAATACTTAGAAAAATGAATTCTTCTAGGATAACTTACACCAATACAACTCATCAAAACACATTTGTATCTTTATGACTTCTCTAGACACATGTAGCTTTTGTAAATATACATGCTTTATTCCAAGGATGATATATGCAAATGAGCTTCCCAAACTAGCAATGCTGTTAAAGGTTTTTTCTTTTTTTTTTTTTCCATTTCCATTTCATTCAATTTAGAAGGTTCTTAAATATTATGGCAAAGCAGAATTGCTATAAATATAAGGTTTATCTGCAATTTCTGTAATAACTAATGATCAGTAGCAACAGATGCAAACCAAATGCCAGTCCCAGGGCCCAGATGCTACAGTAATTTTGTTGTTGATAACAAACCCTAAGTTCTGGGACATTCCAACTTCCTTTAAATTTAGCGTGGTTTTAAGTTTGTTTTAAAAGGTAAGAAAAAGTCATTTATATAGGTGAAATATGAGTAAATTAAGGACAGGGAATTAAAGATAATTCATTTAGTCCTCTTTTGCTATTATAACAAGATTACAACTTGCACATTAGAAATAATGAACTGAGTATAAAAACAACTGGGTTTGCATGAAATGATCAACACAACAGATTCCTGAGGCACACAAGAGAAAGTCAGTCTAAATTTGCTTTCTTTGAGATATTGCTTTCCACTCAAATTCATTTCTTTCTAGCTCTAAAAATTTTGGATAGAACATGTTATTTCAAGTAAATCAAAACACACACTACAGTTGTGTTCTAGTTTGGCTCTCAAAGTACACATACAAATCCATCAAGATGTGTATGTGCGCGCGCGCACACACACACACATATACAAATGTAATAAGAAATCAGTTTACTTCTAGTCTCACTAAGAGACTAAACTCACTTAAGCATCAAGTTGTGACTGCTACCAGAAGACAATACAAGTTCAGACAATATTATATATTAATGTAAGGGTGGAACTCAGATTCAACCTCACTATATTAATATAAGAGATTTACTTTACTATATGCAGACCTTGATGATTTTCAAGGCAAAAGAAATCTAACATTTTAAAAAGAAATTATGAAACTAGCTAAATGCAAAATGAAAATACCATTATACACTGCAAAACCACTTTACTCTGATGCATTTATAAAAGATGACTAGAGGGAAAAAAACTAAAAAATTAACTAAATCCGCAATAAGACTAATGGCCAAAAAGCGAAGTTCCCCTTGTAGGAACTATGCACTTCCTGAAATTCTCTAATTGTAATAAAAATGGTCCTATGACATTAAAAATCACCTGCCAATTTTTTAGTTCAACTGTTTTTAAAATTAGCATTTACTCACAAACCTTCCCTTAAGAGACTTTAATTGGTCTCTTAATAAGATTCCATTTGAGAAAAGATTTAATTTTTTTTCCTCAGTAGTATTTATTCCACAATTTTTTTTTTTTTGCTTTTTCTGTTCTCTTAAAAAGTATATTATTTCTTTTTTAAGAAAAATATTTTAACGGACATACATTTTATCCATGCCAGGAGAAACATACAGTTAAATAAAAGGACAGCTGGATGCCTGGCATTATGACAGGTAGAAAAAAAATGCTTTTCATCAATTATTTCTCCACCCTCACCCAGCGCTGAGTCACCCACCCTCCATTTCTGGCCCCTTTCCCGGCTGAGTGAGGGCCCCAAAAGGCTCTCCGACCACGGACTGGGAGGGCGAGGTAGCCAAGGCAGCTGAAGCTGCCAGAATTTGCTCACCCTGCCCTGTGGAAGGCAAAGAGGCCTAGTGAAATTCCAATCACTTATTTTCCTTTCTCAAAAAAAGCACAGGTTATCAGTTTACTGCTAGAAGCATGAGATAGTGGTGTAAGACCTTTAAATAAATCTAGATTCCAATTAACTTTGGCTGAAAGCCTTGGTAGTTATGGGTTACGGTTTCTCAGTAAATGGGAGATGAAAACTTTAAGAATTAATCGAGGTTTTTAAAATGGTTATACGCTAGAAACCACCTAAACTCACATAATTATGTTCCTTCCTTACAGAGTGAAGGGCAAGAAAATTATGAGTACACAGATTTTTAAAAGATTTAGTGCAAAAAGAGTGCCTCAACTGTGCATTTATATAAAATGAAAAAAAGCAATCTTTAGAATAAACATCTGTACCTGAAGAAAAATTTTGATAAGGTCACACACAGTTAAAAAATCATCATCTTTTCTTCACTTACCTACTGAAATAGCCAGGTCCACATTGGTGGAAAACCTACTTAAATACTTTAATACAATCTCCAAACACCCTTCTTTGTTGAATATAGATACTGCTCTACTACTGCATTCACTAAATTGAAGGGGGAAAAAACAGTTTTACTATTCACATTTTAACATTAAGAAATCAACCACAGAAATTCATAAAAAATTAAGCTTTATAAAGTAACCAAAGACTTTGAGTCAACACCCGCCACTTTCACAAAGAAACCTACATAAAAAAAAGACTGGCTGTCTGTAGTTTTAATTTCACCCCAGTATGACCTTCAAGCCAATGTCTTTACCTTATGGTTCATGCTGGTTTCCTATGGTTAGAGCTGAAAGAAATTTTAAGAATCTTTCAACTCCCCACTTTATAGATGGAAAACCCAGGTCTCAAAAGTGCAGTGATTTAGCCAAAGGTCACACATTTTGCCAGTGGAAAAATGACTCCCACACCTGGCTTCCTTGGGTCCAGTATACCATTCTCTCCACTCTGCCACAGTCATAACAAAACAGGGGTAAAAGGCCTCCGTATCACACATGTAAGAAGCACAGTTTTCAAATAAAATTAATTTGGGTTCATCCCCTCTAGACTATTATATTATCAAGCAGAAGTTACAATATATGCAAAGAAATTACTAAAATATTTTTAAAACTTCACTATCTTTAATAATAGAAGAATGAGAATTTGGTATTAATGTTATCAAAGTTATTAATAAACATGTATACTAGATACAGCATAAACAGCTAATTATAATAATTTTATCCCTGTTTCTGGAGAGCTAATTATGACTTTATCTGCTTCCAAAGAAAAATAGTTCTCTATATATACCACCTATCACATGACACACAGCTATCAGAGCTGATTAAATTATTAAACATAATCCTGTGAGCTGAATTATTTTCTATGTAGCTTACTGCAATGCTGCTATAAACTTACCCTCAAGAAGCCTAGAATAAAGTCAGGAAGATGAAGCAGTGTGTTCAGATAATTTTAAAAATACATGTGTTTGTGTAAATGTAATTGAAAATTTAAACTATAAAAAAATGCTAAGAGCTATGATAACCGGACATAATACAGATAGGGCTCATAAGCATTCAGAAGAGAGACCACTCTGGAGCTACATTTAGTCTCTCATAAAAGAAATATTCTCTAATTCCGAAGTTCAACAATTTACATAAGTTTAAGTTGTTGCATAGAAAAATAGCACCTACCAGCTTGCTCAAATGGCATTTCCTCAAATATGATCTCTCCAGTTTTTCTGGTGGAATACATACACTAGTAACAGAATCATAGGCAAGTCTGGATTACTATGTAGAATCCAACTTAAACTAAGAGATACCTGTGCTTTTAGGTCAGAAATTATTCACTGTTAATTGAAAATAAGGAGCTATAAAAGAATCATGCTAGAAATACGACACATAAAATGGGGTATAAAGTAGTAAATCCAGAGGATATTTCCAGCCATTTCCAAAAAGTCCAGTCCACTGCTATGACCACAGAACAGGGCATGGCCATGTGGGAACTGCCAGGGCAGAGGAGAAAGAACAGGCCAAGTGCTGTGGTTCTGTCTCATTCCAGACACCAGATCAAAGCATCATTACCCCAGGGGCTGGCTATGTTGAAGACAGCTGCTGCACCAGGTATACAAGTGGCAGGTAAGAGAGGAGGTGCAGCAGGGGCTGCTGGTCTTGATTCCCCTTATTCTGTCCATAGCAATGATGCAGAAAAGAGGTATAAAGGCGAAAAGGAGATAGGAAATGCTATGAGGAGAAGTAGGTCACCTGAGGCTACCTCCTCCCAAGCATGTACATCAAGGATTTACAAATCTACCGGGAGAACAAGAGTTCTGTGCAGTTGAACAGAAGAGCAGCTGCCTGCGAGCCACTAGGTAGCGGTGTTAGGAAAGCTTCTTACCATATATTCCACAGCACGTTCACAGCCTCATTGGCTATGGTCTCAATAGAATTTCTGTTTTGATCTTTTTTTTCCTGTGGAGACATCTCATTTGAATCCAGGCCAGCACTACACTGTAACCAAATATTATGATTAGCACCCCAGTTCAAAAGAATAATGAAACAAAAAGGCTAATGATAAGTGAAGAATCAAAAACTAAACATCAGAAATTATAGTGGTTGATGAGCCAAGTCCTCATAAGCACAACCCAGCTCCCTTTGACAAGAAATACAGACAATCAAGTTCACAAGTCATTCTGTAAACTGGATATAAAACATTTCACATTTGCAATGAAAACATCAAACCATTACAAAGTATTTTATCTAATATGGTAGAGAGAGTAAATAAGTCAAAGAAAGGCAATACATAACAACTAATGGTGCCTTTGGTGCCTGGCACTGTTCTAAGCACTTTACATATATTGAGTCATTAAATCGTCACCACAAATCTGTGAAGTGCACAATCTATTATCCCTAGTTGCCCCCTACAAATAAGATACTGAAGTACAAGGACATGGCTTAAGATGTAGCTTAGCGCACGTTGAAGCTGGGTTCTGCTGAAGGTATTCTCACGCCAGCGTTTGGGCTCTGAAGACCCTGCAGTTGTGTTTCTCCAATATAATCCCCTGCCCACTCTATTTTTTTTTAAGATTTATTTATGCATACAAGAGCTGGGGTGCAGGCCAGAGATGCAAGGGGTGAAAGGATTCACCAGAGACAGAGTGGGGAGCAGAACAGGCAGATCTGCTGAAATATACAGCTGAGGGGAGCAGCAGGTGAGACAGGAGAGGTCTACTGTGCCCTGTGGGTCAGCTCCCTGGCTGCGGATCAAATTCATGCTGCAGTGGCTTTGAATGGCTCTTGAGTGCTGCATCTTAACCCTTGCGCCACCAGAGAAGCCACCACCCATCTCTCCGGCCCACTCTAAAGCAGGCACTGACACCTTGTACCAGATGGTTCTTTGTTGTGAAGGCTGTGATGTGCACTGTAGGATTCCTGGCCTTTCCCACTACATGCCACTAGCAACCATTCCACCTAAGCTATGACAATCAAAAATGGGCTCCAGACTTTGCCAGTGTCCACTGGGACAATGACCCCGTGATGAGAAACACTGTTCTAAATAGAACAAGACTGATGCTTCTGAGCAAAACTGGATTTTCTTTATAAAGCCATCAATATAGAGCAGTGGACCAATGGTTTCTTCACAGTATTTCTGTCTACTGTTATCTGTTTTAGCTGTTTATAGTTTCCTGTTTCTCCTCACCAACATGGATTCTGTGAAGGCAGGGTTTCTGGCATGCAAGAGAGCTAAGGCTCGTCAACCCGTGAACTATATCATGCAATAGGACTGGCATGAATTAAATTTGAGAACTTAATGTCATCTTCCATAAAATTCCTAATGTCTGTGCCTCAGTTTCCTCATCTGTAAAATGAAAGTGATTAACACCCACCACAGAGTGCTACGAGGATTAAATGAAATGACACACTGAACACAAAGTAGCATATGACACACACATAAACAATCCATGCTAGTGATTTGTATAATATGATGCTCAAAGTCTCATCTACAGTTTTAGGAAGTCTTTCCCAACCAGCATATAAATAATGGTAGTAGGGACCGAGTAACAGACACTAGTATCAATGGTGAAAGGTCAGTGTTTCTAGGAAAAGAAAATTTCATAGGAAGCTTTGAGGGAACACAAAGAACACCAAAACCACCCCAGTTTGTATACAAAAAAGCCCATTTAAAAACAGCCCCTGAGACTTTCTCAGCCACTAACCTCTTTCAGCAGCGCAACCAGGGGGGTCATGATGTCCTTGGTCACCATGTCATCGCAAACTTCAAACCCTCCACAAGCACTGAGATTTCTACACAGGAAGTTAAAAGTAAATTTTACTGTCAGTTTGTATGTGACAAAACACTTGAGTTGTCAAGTTTATTTCTGTTTCTAACCATATTTAAGATTTCCCAGATGAAATTACTTATTATTTCTGTAAGATGATGCAGAACTAATGCAAAGCAACCTGGTTTGATACAATGTGAACACGTGGCTATCATGTAAGAACTCAGTGGAGGTGGGCACTGTACAGATGGGAAGAGATGTGTTCTATTTAATGTAAAGAACTCACAACTTGACCTTATATGAATGGACCGTTTCATGATATCAAGACTTCAAGGACTGCATGGATCAGGCTACTGAGAATGAGACTCCCTGAAGCAACCTGAATTTTAAACTGAATTATAACTGGAAAGACACTGGTACTTAAGTGTGCATTGCTGTTCTAGGCCCTGAGCATATGAAGAGAAATGAGATGCAGGTAACTGCCCCCAAGTGGTTAATCCCCTACTCATCCCTCCGCTCTTACCTCAAACTTGACTCCTGTAGAATTTTCTTCTCTGACCCTCTGAGTATCCTTAGTAATTACTACTGGTTGTAATCATACACATGTGTGATTAACTGGTTAATACCCCTCTCCTTCAATAGTCTGTAAGACTCATCATGGACAAAAATTATGCCTGTCTTGCTTAGTACCTCATGGCCAGACACTTGTGTAACTGCTAAATCATGAATGAAACCTAAAAAACACAGTCAAAGTAGTGAGAACTGCAATCCTAATTTCTATTCTTGCCCCCTCTACAGTTCATTCTCTGCACAGCCACCGAAGTGGACTTTTCACAAGGAGATCCCTGCAGCCCACACCAACCCCTCCCCCCCCAAAAACCCCCCACACCCTCACACTCCCCGGCTACATGGTCTCACTCTTCTGTCTTTAACCTGCCAGGCCTGCTGCTGCCTCACGTCTGTCTCTGCAGCCGCTATTCCCTAGACACACTCCGCGTTCCCAGTCTGCGTCTCTCATGGTCAGTTCACAAGTGCCATTCATAGATGACCCGTATTACAGTCACTTCCCAACTCACCACTCTTGGTTTTCTTCCCAGTACCTGGCACTGTCTCCTGTTATCAGTTTTACCCGTTCTTAGCTTTCTGTCTCCCTCCTCATCAACACAGTTCTGTGAAGGCTCAGGGAGCTCCTGGTCCTGCCAGCACCTAACAGCACCTGCCGCATACTGGGAGCTGCACTTCGGGGCTCTGTGGCGCTCTTGGAGCAGGTGCGAGGTGCACTAGACCTCACCGGGGGAACGCCTGGCCGGTGGCTGCAGGCAGACGTGTAAAACGCGTCTGATTTGGGGTCCTGGGGTTCCGGAGCTTGGAACCCCCGGGCTCAAGACCCCTCGACAAACCGAGACCCAATGCCGTTCTCCGCCCTCCCTACACGGACGAAGAAACGTCCCAGAGGCGCCGCCTGGAGCTGTGGGCCCAGGCCCCGTCCCCGCTCACCTCAGCGCGCCGGCCGCCGTCTCCCTCACCGCCAGACTGGGGTCGA